GCCCCTTCCCCTTATTCCGACCGCGCGCCCTCCCCCCGCCCCTCCCCTGCGCCCCTCTCCCGTTGCCCCGGTGCTCCCCCCATTCTTCCAGGGCCTCCGCGCCTTCTCCCACGTGCTTCCACCGCCCTCCCCGGGCCCCCCTCTCCTTATTCCGACCGTGCGCCCCCCCCCCCGTTCCTCCCCTGCGCCACCATCCCCTTGCTTCCGTGCTCCACCGCGCGCCCCCGCCCTCTCCGGGCTTCCGCGCCTTCTCCCTCGTGCTCGACCCGCCTTCCCCGGCCCCCCCCCCCCCTTATTCCGATCGGCGCCCTCTCCCCGCTCCTTCCCTGCGCCCCCCTCCCCTGGCCCCCGTGCTTCCCCCACCCTCTCCGAGTTTCCGCGCTTGCTCCCTCGTGCACCCCCCGCCTTCCCTGGGCCCCCCTCGCCTTATTCCGACCGTGCGCCCTCCCCCCGCTCCTCCCCTGCGCCCATCTACCCCGCGTGCTCCCCCCACTCCTCCCGGGCCCCTGCACCTTGGCGCCATTGCCATGTGCCGTCTGTCTCGCATCCGCGATTGTATGATCCTTGTCACGCGTGCCCCTTGTATGCCCGCACGCGCTGCTCGATGGCGTCGTTCCCCATGAGCTCCAAACTTAACCTTTGTCGCAGCCCCTCCAGGTCAATTTCCAGTTCCATCAGCACGCCCTGCGCCCCAAAGCTGTAGATCTCGTCCTGTCGCGCCATCAGCGTACTGCTGTAGTCCTTGGCCAGCTCGGGATCCAACATGTCTGGCAGCTGCAGCAAGAAAACGAGCGCGTCGGGGTGCGACGTCCCCAGATAGTCCAAGAGATATAACGCGCCCCTGTTCTCCCTCGTCGCCCTGTATACGGACACGACGAACACGACCTCGAGCTGCTCCACGATACGAGTGATGCTTTCCGAACTCACCTCTCCACAACCTTCCCCAGTTGCCAGCACGTTGGCTGCCTTGTCCTGCGAGCTCCACGGCACCAGGGTCAAGAAGCCAAAGGTCGACATGATTGGCGCGACGCTGGAGACATATGCCTCCACGACGCTTTGGATCGCCCTTAATGATGACACAATGTTGAACCAATACGATCCGAAGTCAGGACACGCGATGAAACGACACCTCCAACCAAATTGCGTGAGGAAGAACGTCTTGAACCAAAATAACTACGAAAAGCTATCTTGGACCGTATCGAGAGTCTCCTAACATCCTCATGTCGTGTTTGGGACTGTCTTGGGGCGGTCTTGGAAGGCGCAGGGGGCCCCGGGGCGGCCATGCGCAGTGGAGATCCTTGGGCCGGGGCCCCAGACCCCGTAGCCAGGGATATGTCTATACATATATATATGAACATATACACATACATATGCATATACGCATACGCAAATACCTATATGTATCACCATGCATGAACATACAAATATACAATTACAAAGACATGTATATGTATATGAACGTATATACACGAACATGCATGCATACATATACCTATACATATACATGCACGTATACAAACGAATGTACATATACCTGAAAATCTATATATATATATATATATATATATATACATTTACATATACACATGCATGTACATATACATACCTATACGACCACCCTGCGGGTGATAAGGAGGTGACGGGGGAGGGGGAACCAACGTCTCACTCAATCGATCTCGCTATCGATCTCACATTCGGTCTCACATTCGGTCTCACATTCGGTCTCACACTCGGTCTCACGATCGATCTATCTATCGATCTCACAATCGATCTCGCCATCGATCTCACTATCGATATCACAATCGATCTCGCAATCGATCTCACATTCGGTCTCACAATCGAACTCTCATCATCATCATCATCATCATCATCATCATCATCATCATCATCATCATCATCATCATCATCATCATCATCATCATCATCATCATCATCATCACATCATCATCATCATCATCATCATCATCATCATCATCATCATTCGGGACACCATCATCGTCATCATCATCATCAACATAATAATCATCATCACCATCGGGACACCATCATCATCATTATCATCGACATCATCATCATCATCAGCGTCATCATCATCATCATCATCATCATCATCATCATCATCGGGACATCATCATCATCATCAACATCATCATCATCACAATCATCAACATCATCATCAACATCCTCGTCATCAGAACACCATCTTCATCAACATCATCAACGTCATCATCATCATCATCACCACCATCATCATCACCATCATCACCATCATCACCATCATCACCATCATAATCTCACAATCGATCTGACTATCGATCTCACAATCGATCTCACTATCGATCTCACAATCGATCTCACATTCGGTCTCACTACCGATATCACAATCGATCTCGCAATCGACGTCATCACCATCATCATCATCATCATCAACATCAACATCATCAACATAATCATCATCATCATCGCAATCATCAACATTATCATCATCATTACCATCATCATCATCACCATCATCATCATAATCATCATCATCATCATCATCAACATCATGATCGGGACACCGACGGGACACCGACGGGACACCGGCGGGACACCGGCGGGACGCCGCGCGCCACCGGCCGCCCGGTGGAGAATCATTTGGTCCGGCCGCGCCTCAGCCACAGAGGACACCACCGGAACACCGGCGGGACACCGCGCGCCACCGGCCGCCCGGTGGAGAATCATTTGGTCCGGCCGCGCCTCAGCCACAGGAGACTTTCCTCTCGCCCGCCCACGCAGCTTCGCCTCGCCCGCACGCACGGCACGCACGAACACGAAACCGAAATCGATTTCCCGGTAGGGGGGCTCTCCGTTCCACTTCGATCTCATGCAAATGCATATGCACATGCACATGCATATACCTATACACATACATATACATATACATACACATATGTATACATATATGTTTATATACAGATGCATGTACATAGACCCATGCAATTATATGTGTATATACATAAATGCAAAAAATGCACACACACACACACACACACACACACCTAAACATATGCTTAAAACTATACGTATATAAATTCGTATGGATATACATACATGTACATGAACATGTACGTGTACATGTTCGTATTCATATGCCTATACATCTACATGCAATATAACTATACATGAACAGATGTGCACATGCATATACACTTACATGCACATATGCAAACATATATACATATACATACGCAAACAAATATGAATACAAATTACAAATACATGTATGTATACGCATTGAAAAATGCGTATGCGCATACATGAACAAATACATGTATATGTGTACATCTACATATGCACATACATATACATCGACCTACAAATATACATATACATATCTGTGTATACGTATATGCATATACATACATATAAATATGTTTACACTTACATAAACTGTACATATACACGTCTGCAGTTACATATACATACACATGTACCTATACATAAACATAAACAAATCAAAATACAAATATCGATGCGTATACGTACACATATACGTATACTAACCTACTACTATCAGCCAGCGTTGACTCCAAATACATTAGACGACTCACATCAAGGAATCAGACGAACCAAGCATTCTTGGAATCCGCAACTCAGCAAGCAAGCAAGCGTGAAGGCAAGCGCGCAAGCGAGCAAGCAAGCGTGCAAGCGCGCAAGCAAACATGCAAGCAGGCATAGGCATAGGCGTAGTCATAGGAGTTAGGGGGGAGGCATAGGCATAGGCATAGGCACAGGCATAGCCATAGCCATAGCCATAGGAATTAGGGGGGGCATAGGAATTAGGGGGGGGGGCAACGGACCAAATAGTAGAGAATGAAGTAAACTCCGGCAGGGCAAGCCTATCGAAGAAAATATACATACATACATTAACATATACACATACGTACATCTATACATATATAGATGTATAGATACATATACATAGACGTAAACATATATATGTATACGCATATATATATACATATATATATATGTATAGTACAAACATATATACACATACACATGATCATAATCATATACAATTGAACAGGCATGCATGCATACAAATATGCAACAAGTACACATGCATACAGGCATGCAGACATACACACAGAACTACAGGTATATGTATACATGCTGGTAAATAGAATTGAATATCGTTGTGTGCAATTACATTAAGAATTGCAGGTGTGTAAGTATGTGAAAGTATTGTTATATATATATATACACATAAATGTGTAGACGTGTGCATGGGCGCAGGCCGAACACTGTGTCTACTTGACTCAAATTGGAAAGCTGCGGTCGACCTTTCGGGGAAACGCACCGGTTTCGGCAAAATTCAAACACTGGGAAGGGCCTCAAAACACGCGCGGTCCCCGCGTTTGTCTCTGCGAACAACGCCGACATCAAGAACTCACTCCCGCACATACACACACACATAAGAACAAAAAGCCTCCCACACCTTTCTTCATGCCACAGGCTGCCACGGTCTAGCTCCGCGCGCGCGCAGCCCGCCTCTCTGAAGCACGCCGCCGCGCCGCCGCTTTCGGGCCGCCGCTCTCGGGCGCGTGCCCCGGGCGGAGGCTAGGGGGGGGGTGAAACTGGGCACTTCCGGCCCAGCCCACTGTCCTGCCGGGGGTCGCGACCGGCGGGTCCCATAGGGTGGAGCACGGCGAGTTCGTGTCGTGACGAATGCGGCGTTGGTTTCTGGACACCGCGCGGATCGTTCGGCCTTGAACGATCGCGGCTTTCCAACCGCGCAGATCGTTGGGCATCGGCCGAGACTGCAACCCACTGGCAGCGTTCGGCCTGCAACGCCCGCTCTGGGGTCGCCGTCGCGTCGACACGACATGAACCCGCCGCACGCGATCGACATCTTACCCACACCCCTGTTCGCGCTAGCACTCCGCGAGGAGGTGGAGGAAGCATGGGCAAAATCACCAGCAAATCACCCTGCTGGCAGCAGAGACGAGGAGGCGGGTCCAGGAGTAGGAGAGGTCGGCTTCAGGGGACAGGGGTGAGAGCAGGGCCATATGCACATTGGTGCACTTGTCACAAGGGATCATGGCCGTCAAGACCAAACATGTAGCCAGCATTGAGGCCAGAGCACGCTTCCTGAATAAAGTGTGAGGAAGTCTCGCGTGAAACGGCTGCCAGCACCAGGCGGGCCCGTGCTCACCGTCCCCCCTGTCGGCGATGCGGCAGAGACTGGGGCGCGTGCGCAGAGCGATCGCACCGGATGCTGTGCGCTGACGGCGGGTGCCGTGGAGGCCAGCAAAGCCTTGCCTCCGTGGTGCCAGACCCCTTGACGACGGCCGCCGACGGCCCTGGCCCAGCACAGGAATTCTGCCTTCCGCCCAGGTGGATGATGGCTTGCCCCTCTCGTGGGACCTGCGCTGCCTTTTCCTTCGGCAGCTCGCACTGGCCGCTCACTTCCGGTGCACCTGCTTTCGGCGCCCGAGGCCGCCTGCGCACCCCCGTGGCAGAGATCCTCTACGCCCGAGCCCCCCGCGTCGCCCCTGCGCGGCCTCCCGCATCTTCTCGGCTTGTCCAGCATCGGCGCCTCTCCACAGGCAGACCGAACGCGTTGGCGCCCGCCCTCGCCGCTGACAAAGCGAGTGCGCCGACGGCGGGTTCATCTCACGCGCGCGACGCGGCGGCCAGGGGGGGGGTGAGCAACTAATCAATGAGTGGCACACCCCAGCAGCGGAGGCGGCGGGAGGAGGGAGAGTCCGGAGGAGGAGCGGGAGGATACGGGCCTGGCGCCCCCGTTTGCGCGCCCAGGCCTGGGCGAAGGGCAAGCTCCGCCTCCTCCTCCCTCCTCCTCTTCCTCTTCCTCCTCCACCTCCTCCTCCTCCTCCTACTCCTCCTCCTCCTCCTCCTCCTCCTCCTCAGGGTGGGACTGGCGCAGGGGGGGGGGGAGGCGCATCGAGCTCGATCGATCGGGCCCCCGAACCGCACGGCCCTGGGTGGGTCGGGGCATCGGGCCCCCGAACAGCGACGCTGGGCCGACTGGTAGTCGATGCCTCCCCGCCCGAGCCTGACCCTGGGATCCAACACCATCAAAAAGACGACATCGGCAAAAATCATACCAGAGCCCTAGGCCCCATGCTCCTGCACCATCTGCCGAGCCGGATCCACATGCGGCCCCGGTGTGAATGCCTGACGTGAAAAGATGGCAACGCCTGAGCCCTAGACCCCATCTTT